GGGCGGGCAGCGAGGGGTCTTTTACCCAGCGTGGAGGAACAGAGACAGCCAGAGCCTGTAGAACTGATCTGGGACCTCGGGGTTGAGGAAGGGCAGCAGCCCACACACCTTGTCCAAGCAGTGCACCTGGGGGCAAGCGCGTGGAGGTCAGTGCCCTCGACCCAGCTGGCCCTGACGTGGGGGGGGGCAGAGCCGGGTACCTGCTGCGGGAGGGAAGGCACGAGGCCAGCTCCAGCAGGCTGCGGCGCTCACCTCCTTACGCTCAGGGCCCCGCCAGGCCCTGCCTCACCTGGGAGCAGAGTGTTGCCTCTTCGTGGAAATAGCCGTGCATGAATTCACAGTATTCCCGGGTGGTGATCTCACAGCTGGGGGGACAAGGAGGCCAGGGGATGCGTCAGGGCCCTGAGGACTCCTGCCCATTCACCTGCTGCTCAAGGCCTGGCCACAGCAGGCATCGCTGGCAGGAAGGGGGTGCCGCTCTGCGGGGACCACAGCTCCGGGGCAAGCTCCCTTTCATTCTGCTCACGCCACGGGTGACCCCAGAGTCACCAGGTAGGGAAGACACTGGCCCGGGGTGGTGGGTGGTGCCAGAGGATAAGAGAAAGCTCTGGGCAGGGTGCCCGGGGCAGAGTGCCCGGGCTGGCTCACCTGCCCTTGGTGCCGATGCAGCACGGGCGGCCCTTGATCTGGCAGTCCATGTGCAGGAAGCCCGTGCGGTTACTCTTGGCCTGCTCCGTGCAGATCTGCCGGGACGGACACCGGGTTGGGCCCGGGCAGTGGCAGGCACCCCCTCCCTGCCCTTCCTAGACCATGCTCCACCCCGGACACTCACTGGCCACTTGGTGATGTCGTCGGGCCAGATGTGGGCACCGCTAGAGGCTGGCTCCTCACAGGTTCTGGAGGCAGGGGTGAGAGGGGGCAAAATGAGGAGCTGTGCCCCGCCCCCCAGCCTGCCACACTCCCCTCCAACATCCCTGCAGGAGCCACGGGCAGGACACGCAAGGCCGTCTTCTCATGGGTGGCCCAGCAGTGGGCCATCCCGGGACCGTACCTGGGGTCCTGATGGCACACTGCCCCCGATGTCCGCCTCTGGCCCAGATCAGACTTGTCCATGGGGGGGCCCGTGTCATCCTGCCACTTGACAAAAGTGGCCAAAGTCTCCTGGAGGGTGGAGGAGGGTTGGTTACGCCTAGGCGAATGTCCCTGTGAGAGTGGGCAAGGGACCCTCCGGGACAGGGGCTCTTCCCCTCGTCCCCAGGGCTCAGACCCATCTCCCAGACCTCTACCCCCGGCTGACGTTCCCAAGACCTGGCTTCCGCTCCTCTGGGGAGGTCGGCACCCTCCCCGTGCTGGCCCGTGTACAGGGGTGTGTGGGGCCGGGAAGGAGGGAGGGGATGGTCCTCCAGGGGCCCTCCCCAAGGCTAGGGCAAGCGGAGGGCTGGCCCTACCGAGCAGTCTTTCCGTTGGGTCTGGATGCAGCCCGAGTGGTCGTTCTGGACACAGCAGCCCGAGTCCCGCTCAAGGTCTCGCTCCCGAAGCACCAGCTGGTCGATCTGCTGGTCCTTCCGGATGCAGGGTGAGAACTTGGCTCCCAGGTGGATCAAATCGATCTGGGGGAGGGCACAGAGTAAGCGTGGGCCCCGACCTGGCCACTCTGTTGAGTCTCCCCTGAGGGCCCCCTGACGAGGGGGGGGCCCCTGGGCAAGCCGACCCCCTGCCCAGCTGGAGGTGACGGGGCCCAGGGCCTTCCTGCTGTGGTGCTGTCCCACCCGCCGGGCCCCTCACCGAGCTGGGGCCGATCCAGAAGTTCTCCTGCTGGATGTACTTCACGCTCTCATACACGCCTTTGTTCCTGAGCACCTGGGGCAGAGGCAGAGGGAGGGGGGTCAGGGGGTTCCCCATGCCAGGGTAGGGCTGAGGGGTAAAGCTGTGGCGAGCCCAGAGCACCCTCCTGCACGGGCCAGGTTGTGGCCACGGGAGGGATTCGGTGCCCGATGACGCTTGATGCCTCTCGGGCGGGTGGGACCCCCGGAGCGGAGCACCCCTAACTTAGCCTGGCTCACCAGCTGGGTGGTGACGTGCTGGGCAAAGCCCACGGGTGCAATGCCATACGTGCAGATCACCAGCAGCGTGATGATGATGTGGACGAAGGTCAGCCAGTAGGTGAAGTAGGGCCTGGGGACACAGGCCTGGGGTCAGCGGAGCCGAACCCACATCACATCCCTCAGTCTGTCGAGCCCAGCCCCCATCAGCTCCCCTTCTATTGCCCTCCAACTCATCCTTCGTCACAGTGACATCACAGCCCCTACAGGGGGCGCCTGGGTGGGTCAGTCAGTTAAGCGTCCGACTTCAGCTTGGGTCAGATCTCATGGTTCGTGAGTTCAAGCCCCGCGTCGGGCTCTCTGCTATCAGCACGGGTCCTCTGTATCCCTCTGCCCCTCCCCCACTTGCGCTCACACTCTCTCTCTCTCTCTCTCAAAAATAAATACGCGTTAAAAAAAAAAAATGCACTCCAACATGTGTCTCCCTGCTTAAAACCCTTAGATGGCTTCCTGCCACCTTGGAATTAAGTCCAACATCGCCCCCTCCTGCTGGCTGCAAGGCCTTACTGTGCCCACCCACATTCTTCTCTTACAGTTCCTGGAACAAACCACAATCCTCGCGGCCCCAGGGCCTTTGCACACGGTGCCTCTTTTTTCAGAAATGCTCTTCACATCTCTCTTTACCCGGCTAACTCCTGCTCACGCTGGCTGCACCCCTCCTCACCGGTTCACTCTCATTCTCCGTCCTCCTTGGGACGCTTCCTATCCTCGTTATTACTTATTTATAATCGGGGTTTAATGTCCATCAGGTCACTGCCCATCGCACACTGGGAGGACTGCCCTCCTCCAATCCTCTAATTTCCCCCAAGGTCTCTGTGCACATCCTGCCCCACGCTCCCCTCACTCATAGCCCAAGGTTCTGACCGTCCCTCTGGCCCAGCGTGCCCTCCCGGTCTCTCCTGTCGGAGCTGTCCTGGGGCCAGTGGGGGATAGCACTCAACGCACGCTTGTCGACTCACTGCTTTCGGGAGCCAGGCTGAGGACACAGGCCAAGGAAGCAGGGAGGGTGAAGAGGCAGCAAAGCGCCTGGGGACCCCTCCCAGGTGACGCACATGGTCGCCGGGCAACCCCGGGGACTTGTCCCTGCTTCCCTCACCCGCAGGGGGTGCTCGCCAAATGCCGGCTCGGTGAGTAAGGGGGCTGCTGCAGGCAAGGGTCCTGGGGAAACAGGAAGCTCCCAGGCCTCCCGGGGTGGCCCTCGGCCCTCCTGCCCTCTGCCTGCACCTGAGGGCGGGGACGCCGCCCACAACGCCCGGAGCCGGCCGCCTCGCGGCTCACCGGTGGCTGTTGAAGCTCTCCAGCTGGCGCTGCACGGTGCTGCTGATGCTGCGGCGGTAGCTACGGTTCAGCCAGTTGCCCACCACGCCCAGGCCGTAGTGCCGCCTCTTGCGGTCAAAGGCAAAGTGCTTCACCGTGGAGGCGAGGCGCCTGCTGCGCCTGGCCCCGGGCGCTGGGGCTCGGCCGGAGTCCTTCCTGGTGGAGGAGGGCTCTCAGCCGGCTGCCCCTTCCCCGCACATCCCAGAAGGGGGCCCGGGAGGGACCTGCTGCGGGCTGGGGGAGCCCTTCCCCACCGCACCACTTCCCTCCGCTTGGAGGAAGGCTGCCCAGAACTCACAGAGGGACCTGCACCCCATCGGGGGAGACCGGGGAGGCCGAGCGTGGGATCCCCCGGAAGTAGCTGGCAGAGAGCGGGGGAGACTCAAACACATCGTCGGGCATGGAGCTCATTTCTTCCTGGGGTGGGGTGGAGCGGGGGACACAAAGAAGGACAGCGTGAGGAGTCACTGTCCCAAATACTGCTCCCGACAGCTCAATTCAAGGACAGAACAGAGCGGGACAGGCTCTTGGGGAGGGAGGTGCAGGGCATGTGCCTGGGAGCCCTCATGATTTCCCCGTTGGCACCTGCCCCGCCAGGTCCCCGACGGAGAGACAGGGTCCCAGGAGCTCCGCAAGGCAGCATATCCCTCCAACCAGGGGGCCCTTGGATCTGTCAGGGGCTCCTGGCAGCACATGATCAAGGCCAGGTCACCAGTCCTAACTCCCAGGCCACCCCGTACCCTCTTCCCGAGGCCCACACCCCATGCTTGCCTTACTAAAAAATGAGGAGTCAAATGTGTCTGCCCCATCGACCACGTCCTCCTCCAGGAAGCTGGGGTAGGCAAAGCTGCGTTTGATCACCCGGCACCGCTGTCCTGTGGCATCCAACACGGAGCGCCCCTGTGACAGGGCAGAGGCACGGGCATCAGGCCCCCGCTCCAAAGGGACTGTCAAGCCCATCCTCCCCGGGCAGGGCGTGGTCAGAGACAGGGCACCATCTTCCATAGCCCTAAACATAGCGCTCTCCGCAGTTGGCCGTTTTCCTCTCCCTGCTGACATCCTGCCCTCTGACTTGGGCAGCTAGCTCGCCACCATTCGTTCCGCACCCTTACTCCCAAAACTCGGGCCATCTCCCCCAGCCCCAG